ATTCTTTGTCGGTCTTCTCGGAAGCAGCTCAGAAATCCCACACAACTTTGCTGACCTTACTGCCGGTGCTGTCAGGCTTGCTGCCAGTTGGCATTTATGAGATTCTACCACAGAGCTGCCAGCTCCCTAAAGTTCTAACCAGGTCCCTTTCTCGATGTCTTATCGCCAGAAAGATGGCCACAAGTGTAATTTGAATGTTTCCTTGATTTCTAAAATTGGAATAATCCCACCGTAGAGCAGGAGTTGTCTGCTGTTCCCCACCTTCCCTTCCGAATACACACACCCTTGTTACTTTACACTCTAGCCCTTCCCTGGGAGGAGGTTCTTGGAGCTGGCAGCAGCGTACATTGTGGTCACTGTCAGACGGACAGATGGTCTAGCTCTTAAAACAGCACTAGGGCCTAAAATGCAGGGAAGGCACACATCACCAAGTTCAAGGGGAAGCGTTGGAGATAACGCACTGCCTTCCTGCACTGCAGTGTGCGTCGCCCGTTCCCCTCCCGCACTTTTCTGTTGCCGTGTTTGCTCTGGGACAAGCAGCTGTCCTGAGTGCTATGAATTGGGGATGTACCGTCCATGCTTTCTCCCTCCATGAAGAGGCTACATAACACATCTATGTCCAGTGCTGCTTTATGTTCTTGGAGGCTGTACCTCAAACTAGCTGTGGATTTTGTCTCCTGCACTGCCAGTATGCAGTTGGTTCTGCTTTTGTTAATTTTATGAAGACGTATACAGAATTTTTACAGAATGTAGTATTTTGATATCATTAAGTAAACCAATCAGAGAACTCCTTGAGCAATAGTTTTCTTGTCATTTTAAGTTTAAAATCATCTTTACCCATATGTTAATGTTCCTTTTCTATGAAGAGCTGTACATGTCCACCTAAATTTCTGTGTCCGCATTAAACCTCTAAAGATGTGTGTGTGGAGAATATTGAAAAGTTCATGGTTAGGAATACTTATAATGTAAAAGCACAGCAAACTGCATTGCACTTCTGATCTAAAGCAGATCTGCTAGGAAAAGGCGCTTTTCTAAATGCTCAAATGTTATCAAAATACTATATTTATAGAATTCTCTCTCTGCTAACAGCCAGGATTTGCTGTTAGAAACAACTCTTGGGAATTAATATTGTGCTTTATGGGGGCTCTAATCATTTCAGCAGTAGTATCTTTTAAACAGTATTACCATAAGCAGTGTGCTTCAAAATGTGAATTAACTTGTTTGAAACTGTGGCTTTAACATCTGTGTGATTAGTGTATATGGTATTTGCTCTCCATTATCAAGATAATTCATTGTTAGGTAAACGTGGCTAGTAGGGAGTGCAGTTCTGTGAGCAGTGTTTCCTATTGACTATCAGCCGCCGTCTCGGTCACACATAGCAGCAGCAGCAGCTCCGCCTTGTTCAGGAAAAGTAGATTTGGCAAGTTGCTGAAAATGCACAAAGTTAGGAAAGTTAAAAGTATGCTGCAAATAACTAGTCATTATTCTGTGTATTATTAAATATTTACCAGTTCTGTTAAAAGCAGAGCAGAAATTAGACACTGAGGATCTCTGTGAATTCTTTGTTCTCTGTAGTAGATTGCTGTTTATATGTATGTAAGAATTTTATTGCTTCTGTGGCATACGATATTTATAACTGTATACTTTATAGAAGTACAGTATTAAAGTCAATGGTATACAGACATTCTGTACATATCCTGTGCAATGTGCTGTCACATGAAATAAATACACCTGTATTTACCATGCTGACCACTTTGCTCAAAAGGGACGAGTTTTTCTCATTTTCCTTGTGCTTACAGAAGTTTACTGGCATTTGGGGAAAATAGATCAATTCTTACTGGTAAACCAGTATTTTATTTTTTAAAAGACTTTTATTTATTTAAAAGGCAGAGTTGGGGGGGGGGTAGGGATGGAGGGGGATGTATCTTCCATCTGCCAACCAGGTATTTTAATTCAAGATCTTATTTTCCTTGATTATATTGCTCCAAATTCTGCTTACTCTGAAAATAAGCCAGAGATTTCCTGCACTCTCTCATCATCACGAAGCAGCCCATGCACTCAGCCCATGAGAGGCCCTCATTCAAACTCTTGTTGACTTGACAACAACACACGCAGCGTGAATGAGGATGCTCTGACCCACAGAGAAACGGTGAGGATGGGGGGACAGGGAGAGGGGGGCCGTGGACACAAACAGCCAGAAAGACTGGCTAAAAAGAGCCACAGTCAGAGACCAGGCCCAGTTAGCAGTTCTTAGCAGTATTGTCTTTTTTCAATGTAATCCTCTATGATTGATATTCAAAACAATTACCTAAATTCTTAAATAGCTGAATGAACAGGTTCATTAACCTTTAAGTTACAGAGACAGAATAATAGGCTTTTCAAAAGCATTTCGTGATAATTGTGGAATGACATGTAATTGTAAGAAATGATACAGGTCCCATGTACCCTCACCCAGTTCACTCAGGTGGTCATAGCTTGCAAAGCCATGGTCCAGTAGCACACCCGACACTGCCGCTGATACAGGACTTTCCCAGCACTGCAAGGAACTCCTTGTTGCCTTTGCCCATCCCGTCCTCCATTCCCTCCTTTGCCTTCCCCTCTGGCAGGCTCCTCTGTTCTCCATTTCTGACCTTTCAGGATTGGCTGTGTTCACGTGGCGTAATCCCCAGGAGAGCCCTCCAGGTCATACATATCAGGAGTGTCTTCCACGGTAGGCTAGCCCACAGCCAACAGTTCACCTGCTGGGGCACGTGAGGATTGTCTGCAGTTTGGGGCTGTGACAGATACAGCTGATGGGAACAGAGGTTCTATGCTTGGACACATGCTGAGGAGTCTGACTACTCGGCTGTGACTGCACTGGTGGCGTGCTTCAGTTTGTAAGAAAACTGCCAGACTTTTCCAGAGGGTCCTCCATTTCCCAGTCCCATCAGCCAGGTCGGGTGACCCAGCTTCTCTGCACTTTTGCCCTCATTTGCCATCGTCACTGTTTTCTTGTTGTTTTTAATTGTAGCCATTCTAGTAGGCATTTCATTGTGTTTTTAATTTGCATTTCCCCCATAGTTATTGACATTGGACTTACTTGCTCTCTTGGATCTTCTTCGGTGGAGTGTTTGCATCCTTTTCCCTATTTTCTAAGTGGACTGTTCCGAATGCTGAGTTTCTCCATATTACCTGTCCTTTGCTGGATACGTGATTTGCAAATACTTCTCTAGAGTGTAGCTTACTTCCCACGCTTTCCACGTGGTCCACAGCCAGATCCTAAGCTCTGCAGGCCCAGAAACTGCAGCAAGGGTGACTGACGTACGATATCCAAACTTGCAAGAAACTGATGTGGAAACTCAAACACCAATTTATCTTTTATTTTTTTTAAAGATTTATTTAAGGCCGGCGCCGTGGCTCACTAGGCTAATCCTCCGCCTTGCGGCGCCAGCTCACCGGGTTCTAGTCCCGGTCGGGGCGCCGGATTCTGTCCCGGTTGCCCCTCTTCCAGGCCAGCTCTCTGCTGTGGCCAGGGAGTGCAGTGGAGGATGGCCCAAGTGCTTGGGCCCTGCACCCCATGGGAGACCAGGAGAAGCACCTGGCTCCTGCCATCGGATCAGCACGGTGGGCCGGCTGCAGCGCGGCGGCCATTGGAGGGTGAACCAACAGCAAAGGAAGACCTTTCTCTCTGGCTCTCTCTCTCACTGTCCACTCTGCCTGTCAAAAAAAAAAAAAAAATTTAAAAATTTAAAAAAAAAATAAAAAATTTTAAAAAAAGATTTATTTATTTGAAGGGCAATGTGAGACAGATGGAGAGAGGGAAACAGAGGGGGAGGGATAGAGGTCTTCCATCTGCTGGTTCTTTCCCCCACATGACCACAACAGTCTGGGCTGGGCCAGGCCGATGCTAGGAGCCACAACCCCATCCTGGTCTCCTGCATGGGTGGCAGGGGCCCAAGTACTTGGGCCATCTTCTGCCTTCCCGGAAACATGTACAAGAAGCTGGGTCAAAAGTAGAACAGGTGCCGGCGCTGTGGCATAGCGGGTAAAGCTACCACATGCAGTGCCGGTTCAAGACCCAGCTGCTCCACTTCGATCCAGCTCTCTGCTGTGGCCTGAGAAAGCAGTGGAAGATGGCCCAAGTCCTTGGGCCCCTGCACCCACGTGGGAGGTCAGACACTTGCCCATCGGAATGACCAGGGCTGCCTGCGGGAGGGTGCGTGTGATCCTGCGTCCCGGCACTTGGAGGGAACACGTCGTCCCCTCTCCCGTGGGCTCCATCCCTCTCTATCCGGTTCCGATCGGTCCAGGCGGCTCTGATGACGAGACTAGGGCCTTGTCACTAAGGACTCGGGGCGGAGGCTACCCCCGCCCCCTGGGGCTTGCTCTGACCCTCGGCTGACCTCACAGGCCGAGCCCCCTCCTGGGTTTCCTGGGTGCCAGTTCCGGAGTTGGCCTCCACCTGTTTACGTGTTCCCTGGGGTCCAACACAATCCTGCGAGCAGGCATGGCGGTTCGGTAAGGACTGGCTGGGGGTGCTGGCGAGGGTCGTTCCGGCAGCAGCCCCTGCACATACAGACAAACGCAGGCACTCGGCCCCGCAGAACCCGCCAGCGCGACCCGCGGGGAGCGGCCATCGAGGCCGGACCGGAAACGGCCAGGAGGCGTGACCGGAAACGGCCAGGAGGCGTTTCCGGAAGTGGGGCTGCCGGCGGCGGAAACGACGCTAGCGTTTGGGGCGGCCGAGGCCAGCCCCGCTACCTGTTCCCGCCGCGGCCACCGCCCACTCGGCTCCCCCGCCTCCCCGGGCGGAGTCGCGGGCCGGGGGCCAGTCCCTGGGCGGCGGGCCGAGCTGCCCCCGCGCGGCCGGGGCTGTGTTTGCGTTGCCCTGACAACAGCCACTTCCGGGAGCGGCGGCGACGCGCAGCCCGGTGCCGGGTGCCCGGGTTCCGGCCTCCGCTCGGCCGTTAGCGCCTCCGGCCAGCGTCGGCCTGCGGGACCCGCGGGCCGCCGGCGCCGCCATGGTCGTGCTGCACGTGAAGCGGGGCGACGAGAGCCAGTTTCTGCTGCAGACGCCCGGGAGCACCGAGCTGGAGGAGCTCACGGTGCAGGTGACCCGCGTCTACAACGGGCGGCTCAAGGTGCAGCGGCTCTGCTCAGGTGCGGGACGAGGCCGGGAAACCGGGCGGCCCGGCTCGGAGGGCCCCGGGGGGCGCGCAGGGCCGAGTGTGTGCGGGGACGGGGGACCCCCGGAGTTAACCAGAGGCGAATGAAGAAGGGGAGCCAGGATCTGCGGGTGCTGGCCAGGTCGCGGGGAAGGGGGCGCTGGGACAGCTAAGCGGGTGGGTTTGTGCGGCCCGCGCGTGGCCGTGGAGCCTTCGACACGTGGCCGGAGTTTTAAGCAGTCCGGTGTACCTCGTAGCAGGTGACCACACAGCAGGTGTGGTCTGCGATGTGCCTGAGAGTTGGGACAACTCCGCACACGCACAGCACCTCTGTTGCTGTGTAATACTCTTGTGCCGGGCTCTAACGACAGAAATGGCTTGTCCCACCCACCCACCCCCCCCCCCACCGCCGAGTCTCCTGGGGGCCCCGGGGAGGATCTGTATGGTTTCTTAGTTGCTCCGGGTGAAGTTGTTATTTTTTTAAGAGGGAAGCATTTGGGGAGAAGAGGCCCCGGGGTTGCCTTTTCGTGGTGGCGCTGAGACAAGAGTCCCGCTGGTGAACTTCGGGCCGGCTCACGGACTGTGCAGTGGCCCGTGTCAGCGGCTAGGCAGGAGGCCGGGTATGTCCAGAAACATACAGCCGTGCCATAGCACGGTAAGCCTGGTACTGGGCACCCGGGGCCCTGTGCTGCTGTCTCCCCGGCCTCCCAGGCCTGTGAGTCAGCTGGAATCACAGAAGTTAGTTGTGAAGGGTTTTTTGATTCATTTATTTGAGAGGCAGAGTTAGAAGGAGAGACAGGGAGGTCTTCCATCAGCTGGTTCACTCTCCAGATGGTCGCAACGGCCGGAGCTGGACCAATCCAAAGCCAGGAGCCAGGAGCTTCATCCGGGTCTCCCATGCCAGGTGTAGGAGCCCAAGCACTTGGGTGATCCTCTGCTGCTTTCCCAGGCATTAGCAGGGAGCTGGGTTGGAAGTAGAGCAACCGGGACCCAAACCAGCACCCACATGGGATGCCAGCCCTGCAGGCCGTAGCTTTAACCTGCAGTGCCATGGTGCTGGTCCCAGTTGTGACATTCTTAGATAAAGTATTAGCTGTGAATTAAGGAAGGTGGGGGTGTTGGCAACTATTTTTAACCCTGAGGTTGCCTGTGTGAGCACATGCGGAAAACAGGAACACTTTGTATGAATAAACTCAGCTTTCCATGGGAATTCACGTTCCGGCACGGCACGGCCCAGCACGGGGGATTAGAGCTCAGGGTCTGTAACCAGCCTGCCTGGCCCCGGCCAGTTCCCACACCCTGCGCCTCTCTGCGCATGGAGGATGCACACCGGGGCCTGGCTGCGAGGGGCGGGGACCGGAGTGGCTCACAGCGAGCGGTGTGTGAGCTCAAACGGGGGCAGCCGGATGCACAAGACCCTTGCTGTGTCGGGGTTGGCGTTCCGGGGCGGGGAGAGGTAGGAGGGGGATGGTTGTGGCATGTGTTTTCTGACCCCCCCCCCGCCTTGTTTTTAAGAAATGGAAGAATTAGCAGAACATGGCGTGTTTCTCCCTCCGAATATGCAAGGACTGACTGATGAGCAGATCGAAGAGCTGAAACTGAAGGACGAATGGGGCGACAAGTGTGTCCCCAGCGGGGGCCCCGTGTTTAAAAAGGATGACATTGGACGAAGGAACGGACAAGGTAACTTCGCGTTTCTGTCCTCTGCGTGGGCCTGAGTAGACCGGGGAGGAAGGAGGCAGGTCCCGAGGGGGGAAGGTGGACCTCGGTGTTTCAGTGCGCACTGGGTGGGGAATCCTGCTCTGTGCAGGCCCTTGGGGTCAGATCGCACCGTGTCAGGGATACAGGGCAGCTTCCGTCGTCTGCTGAGCTCTGGCTGCACCTACGCAGACGAGATGAACCGCACAACGTGTCCAGAGCCGCAAACGGCCAAGCCCTGGCGAGCTCACCCGGGTCAGCCTGATCAAATTTCGGCAGCTATGAACTGGGGAAATGTGTGGTGGTTGTGCGTTGTGCCTGTGTGCAGGTGTCGGGGTTTATGTAGGGAGAAGGCCGTGAATCTCTGTGTAAGGGGCTCCGTGGAGGACACGCCCCGTGGTGCGCAGGCCACCAGCTTGTGGCACAGCACATGGCTGGCCGTGAGCGACTGGGAGGAGGACGGTGATAATCCTTCTGGATGGCTTCTCCATTTTTTCCTGCATAAGAAGCTCCACTTAAAAAACTATAATGGATCATTTAACAGCCACCTAAGTACCTCCCATGTCCCCAGAACACTCTTCAGAAGACAGAGGAGTGTTTCAGCAGGGCCTGCGCGCCCCAAAACACGATCTTTAAAAAACAGGTAGATGACGGAATTCCAGGTGTGGTTTCCTTAGAATTCTAACCTGGAAAATGGTTGTTGCTCTTATCACACCTGAACTTGTGCTCAGTCTGGAGAGACTGTTTGGTTCTCGGAAGGAATTTCGGCAGTGAGACAAATATCCCATAAGAAGCAGTCAGACGGTTGATTATTTGTCTGTAAACCAGCGTGGCCCTTAGTGAGCCATTTCGACCCTAACGCGGTTTGGTATTTCTGCTAATGTCAGCGTCGAGTGGATCTGCTGTTAAGAACGCACAGTTTGAACTTGTCCCCGCTGCCATGGGTTTGGGGATTCCATCCCCGATGATTTTTTTTTCTAAACTTTTTCTTTCTTGTCTCGGCAGTCACCAGATGATGGACCACATGTCAAATTCAGCCCATTGCCTATTTCTGTAGTTTTATTGGGACGCAGCTACCCACTCGTTTAAATATGAGGGTGCCTCTGAAGGTCATGGCGAATGGAATTACAAGAAAAGTTTACTTTTGGTGCCAAAACTCCTTTGCAGCCCATGCTATGCATTTCCCATGAACGTGCTGAAGGCCCGCGTCGTCAGTGGCCCCGGCTGGGTTGGGGTGGCCACCCCTGGCTCCCCAGGGGCGTGCAGCACCTGCTACGGGGCTCTGCCACCGCGCGCCATGCAGGTGCATCCTCTTACTTTACTTACTCCCGAGTCACAGTAGGGACCGAGGAGTGCGGGAGGACCTTCGAAGAGCTGTCTGATGCCCCCCCCCCCCTTTTGTTTTTGTAGCCCCAAATGAAAAAATGAAGCAAGTCTTAAAGAAGACTATAGAAGAAGCCAAAGCAATAATATCTAAGGTTAGCTTTTACTTTTTTCCTTCTTTTTAAGTTAAATTGTTAAACTTGTAAATCATTATTTGAGAGGTGGAGAGACAGGTGGAGAGCGCTCATCTACTGAATCAAGCCCCCCGTGCCTGCGGTGGCAGGGGCTGTCCCATGCGGAAGCTGGGAGCCAGGAGCTCCACCTGGGCCTCCCCTGTGGGTGGCAGGAACGCAGTTACTTAAGCCATCGCCACCGCCTCGCAGGGTCTGCGTGATCAGGAAGTTGGAGTCGGGAGCTGGGACTGGAACATGCACACTCAGTGTGGGAAGCAGGCGTTTTAACCAGTGTCTCACCTGCCAGACCAAGCAATCGGCTTTTGTAAAATGCTGCTCTAAAGGTTGACCTTGGAATACGTACGATAACTGTGGTACCCAGGGTCACGCTGTTGAAATCCTTCCAGAGGTGGAGAAAGGAGTGTGTTTGCGGTGGACCCTTGCTTTCCCTTGTCACAACCACGGCGTGTGTCCAGAACCCTCCCAGTGCTGGCTGGGCACGTGCAGGTTGATACCCAGCACAAATAGGGGTCGAGGGCTGCTCCTTGTGTTTCTTTGACCCTATGGCAAGCACCATGGCGGAGATTTGCATTTGTGGTCGTGGAGTAGCTCTTGAGATACTTGACCAACATGGTACATATATAATAGAAACTGGTTTTTGAAAGTTAAATATACAAAAACTACTTCATAGAAGAAGGAGCGTAAACAATACTACTGATACGCAGGTCGTGGGCATCGTGGCGCGGCAGGTTAAGCCGTCTCTGGCAGTGCCCCATATTGGAGAGCTGGTTCAGCTCCCAGCTGCTCCGCTCTGACCCAGCTCCCTGCTGATGCATCTGAGAAAGAAGCAGAGGATGGCCTGAGTGCTTGGGCCCTGCCACCCATGTGGGAGACCCGGATGGAGTTCCTGGCTCCTGGCTTCAGCTAGCCCAGTCCCGCCATTATGGCCATTTGGGGGAATGAACCAGCATATGGAAGATATCGCGCGTGCTCTCTCTCTGTCTCTCTGTCACTCTGCTTTTCAAATAAATAATAAATCTTTAAATGATCGATATTTCTGTCCATCGTATTTATCCATAATAAATAGACGCCAGTTGCTACTGCCTTCATGTGCAGGTCTTCCCAGGGTTGTCTACTTTTTCTGCTGCTAACCGTATTTCTAAACCAATGCCTCTCAAACTCTTTGCTCTCTCCACTAATCTCTTAACAGCTTCAGGATAGCCCCCCACGCCACCCCACCCCCGTGCCTGACTTAAGGCTCTGTGAAGTCTTTCCGGGGAGACTTTGGGTCCACGTTGCACGCTGTACGTGACTGGAAGGCCTTTTTGGGGGAGTGTTAATGGCTCACATCTAGTCATTTTAGCACGTGTCAGAACATGGTAAGAACACAGGGGTCTGGGCCTCGTTCTGTGAGGGAGATTTCAAAACATTTGCGGAAAAATGGAATTAAAAGATGTTTGTTTTGGTGCCAAAACATTTAAAAATCCATGCATATTCTTTTCATAAACTTTTTCAAAAGTTCATAGAAATGTGTACTGTAAACTATGCATAGATTTCAAAATTTTCTGCACCAAAATTATCTTTTTTAAAGATTTTATTTATTCATTTACTTTGAAGTCTAGAGTGACGGGAGGAGAGACAGGGCTAGGCTGAAGCCAGGAGCTGGACCTGCATCCGGGTCTCCTGTGCGGGTGCAGGGGCCCAGGCACTTGGGCCCATCTTCTGCTGTTTTCCCAGGTGCATTAGCAGGGCGCTGGATTGGAAGTGGAGCAGCCGGGGCTCAAGCCAGCTCCCTGCCATGTTCCAAGCAGTGGTTAACCCACGCAGCACAGGGCTGGCCCCAGTGAACTTAGCGTTGCATTCCATTTTGGCACAGACGTTTTGGAGTCCCCTTGCTCCCCCTTTACCCCAGCCCTCTCTGAAGAACCCTCCTGCTGCTTCCGTGGCTTCTCGGAGCGTGTGCTTGTCAGCGCTTCACTCTTGGCCCTCGTTTTCCCTCCGCTTGTCATCTCCTGTCCAGTGCAGATTGTAGCCTTCGGCAGATAACGCAGAGCCCCTCTCCTCCACCCTGGCACCTTCCCTAACTGGGAACTGGCGCCCCCAGCTGGCTCCGGGTGGTTCTGCCTGCACACCAGCCAGCCCTTCAGACACGGGGTTGGACCACTGAACTCGCTGTTCCCTCACTCGCCGCCTCTGTTCTGTACCCAGGATGCGGCACATCCTGCACGCTTCCTTCCACCAGACCCACCGGGGGGCCTGTCCGGGACCTTCCGTAGGCTGTGGGCCCCGCCATCCTCAGTGCCAGCGGGCCTCCTGCCATTTCCTGGCGCCTCAGATGCAGCGTGGAAGCGTGGAGTCCACCTCCTCCTCTCATGGCCACAGCTGCCACTTTATTTAAAGCTCCACCTGCAGCCGCCTTTTTTCTTTTTCTTTTTTTTTTTTTTTTTTAGATTAGATTAATTTATTTGAGAGGAAGAAAAAGAGAAATCTTCTTCCATCCTCTGGTTGACTCCCTAAATGGCCACAACGGCCAGAGCTGGGCCTGTCTGAAGCCAGGAGCTTCTTCCGGGTCTCCCATGCAGGTGCTTTCCCAGGCCACAGCAGAGAGCTGGATCGGAAGAGGAGCTGCCGGGACTTGAACCAGGGCCCACATGGGATGCCGGCACTGCAGGCAGTGGCTTTACATCCTGTGCCATGGTGCTGGCCCCATACACCTGTAGCCTCTGCATCCCAACACCAACCGGGTGTTTGCAGCTCGGCTCAATTCTGAAAGCAGGCAGGGTTAACACAGGCCCTGCAGGTGAAGGGCCTCGAGGCGCACGTGAGCCGCCCCTCTGGTGCTGGCTCTCCCGGCTGCACTGCCGCCCTGGGTTCCTGCCCCGCAAGCACCTCTCTCGGGGCTGCCCAGAGCCTGCTGTGCCGTCTGGACTCGGCTCGGCCTCTGAAACCCCGGCAGTCCCTCCGGGAACAGGAGCTGCCCGGCTGCCTCCTGTGGCGCGGCAGTGTCCGGCAGCGTCTTCTAGTAGCTATGGAGCTGATGAGGTCATGATGCCTGTCCACTCAGAGGCAGGTGGAGGCCGGCGTCTGCGTGACCACGGAGATGCTGAAAGACGCCTTGGACCAGCTCCGCGGCGCCGTGATGATTGTGTACCCCATGGGGTTGCCGCCCTACGATCCCATCCGGATGGAGTTCGAAGATAAGGAAGACCTGTCGGGAACTCAGGTACGGGGTCGCTCACGGCCCCGGGCCCAGAGGTGGTGCTTCCCAGGCTGCTTTGCGCGAGCGGAGTTCTGGGTGCGGGCAGGCCCCGAGAGGGTGGTGCCGCGAGGAGGCTTGTGAGGCGCCCTGGGGAGCAGCTGGACACATGAGAGCCCGGGCTCGGGGCTGCTGAGAAGCGGAGCCTCGTTGCGCCCGTTTCCACCCGGTGCACGGCCTCCGCTCTCGCTGCGTGTTATTTTCTTACCCGTGTGCCCCGTTTCCCTTTGGATCGAACGCTGCTCTGAGCCACCTTAAATGGGTGGACTGTGAGCCCACTGGGCCTCCATTCAGAACCAGGGAAGTAGCCACAGACCCGTGGAAGGAGGCCTTTCCTTGTGGGTGAGGTGTGCGTGAGCAGGACACTGCCCCTCCCCAGCAGGAAGCTAGCTGAGTGAGGGCGCCCCCTGGCGGTGTCGGGGCAGGCCAGCTGCTGGGAGCCTGCCCGCTGCACCCACATCCGGGACAGTTCCCGCAGCCCTTAAAGCTGGTCTTTGATCGGCCCCAGGCGGGACTGAACGTCATCAAGGAGTCCGAGGCACAGCTGTGGTGGGCGGCCAAGGAGCTCCGCAGGAGCAAGAAGCTTTCCGACTACGTGGGGAAGAACGAGAAAACCAAAATCATCGTCAAGATCCAGCAGGTGCGTGCCGTGCTCACGTGGCGGGTATTTGATTCGCCATCAAGCTGATGAAGATTTACCATGGACCTAAAAGACTGCGCGCGCTGGCTCACTCCCCGCGTGGCCACGACAGCTGGGGCCGGGCCAGGTCGAACGAGGAGCCAGAGCCGCGTCCAGGGCTCCCGTGTGGCGGGCGGGGGCCGGCGGAAGCTGGTGTCCCTGTGCGGGACGCGGCAGTGACGCGTGGCTTGCCCGCTGCGCCCCCTGCTGGCCCTGGGCTGCTGCTGCAGTCCCGCGGGCCCGGGCTGAACGTATCTGCGCACAGTCGCGGTTGGAAGAAAATACGGGTGCGGCAGCAGCGCCACAAGGGACTCGCAGGTGACAGACAGAGGCGCGGTGCGTGGGGGCTCAGGGGCCTTCCGAGTGTCACCTACCACGTGGCCGTGGCTTCCTCTGCTGCTGCATCTCTCCGTAGTTTGGGGGAGACGGTTCCCTCCCCGTTTCCTGTAGCCAGAGCCCGTGGCTCTGCACGCCGCAGGCGTGGCCAGGACAGAGGTGACGCTGCACAGCCTCTGGCCCCCGGCCCCCTGATGCAGGGTGCGGGCGCTACTGAGCTCACTTGATGAGAGCAGTGGGCTGCGCAGCTTTGGCGCCCAGCCAAGGCGGGGGTGAAACGGGGGCCGTAACTTCCTGGGTTGCCCCAGCAGTGCCCTAACCCAGCCTGCGCTCCCGCCCTGGTCTTGCAGAGGGGACAGGGCGCGCCCGCCCGCGAGCCCATCATCAGCAGTGAGGAGCAGAAGCAGCTCATGCTGTATTATCACAGAAGGCAGGAGGAGCTCAAGGTACCGGGCAGGGCGGGCGCCGCGGGCGCGGGCGCGGGGGCAGGTGCGCGGGGGAGGCGTCTCTGCTGTGTCCGCCGCGGCGGGGCGCGGCAGGCGGGGGCCCTCTCCCCGTGTGCTGGGGAACGCCTTCCTAAGGAAAACACACTTGCTTTCCAGAGGTTGGAAGAAGACGACGACGACTCCTGTTTAAATTCCCCCTGGGCGGACAGCACTGCCTTGAAGAGACACTTCCACGGGGTGAAGGACATCAAGTGGAGGCCGCGGTGAGCGCGGCACGAAGCTGCAGGGGCTCGCTCCCCGCTGTCCTCCCCGGGCAGGGCGGAGTTCCGGTTCTCCTTTGAATTCCTACAGTAGCAGCCACTCGGTCTTCTAGAACCAAATAGATACATCCTCACACGAAGGTGTACACATTATTTTGTTCCAGGACAAATATTTAGTTTCTTGGGGTTTTCGTTAATAAAATACTAAAGATGGAAGTAGGGACTTTCTGCATCTTCCTGATTTCTTTGGGTTTTCTGTTTGTTTTCATCTCAGAACACATACTCCCCGATGTGTTCACTCCTCAAATGCGGGCGGCAGCCCTGGGGCTGGGCCAGGCCGGAGCCAGGAGCCGGGAGCCCCATCTGGGCCTTCCACGCAGGCGGCAGGGGCCCAAGCGTTTGAACCGTCTGCTGCCTCCCAGGACGCATTAGCAGGAAGCTGGAGCCAAAGCAGAGTCGCGGGGCCTGGAACCAGGCACAGGGCGCCCGCCCCTGATTCCCGTGGGAGGAAAGGGCCAGCCGGGTCTGGTCTGATGTGAAACCTGACCGTCAGGGGCCGCTAGGGGGCGCCAGCCCCTGCCCCGCTTCCTTTTGAGCCTCGGCTGGGGGAAGATGCTTCCACAAGGTTGTTTTTTGATTCTAATTTTACAGGAGTGTTTTTTGAAGTACTGTCATCCAAGGGATTTTCAGAAAGTTTGTGGCGATGCCTGGGGTGAAAGAACTGCCTGGACTTCAGTTTTTCTATCAAATTCATCTTTTAATCCCATTTCCCGTGAGCTTTTTGAAGTGCCGTCCGATTGGAAGCGGAATTCTCATCTCAGTTGAGATTCTGTAATCCCGCTGAAGCGTGGGCCGCCGGCCTGCACCTGCTAGCCTCATGGCTGGAGCCCTCCAGCCTTGACCGCGGGGAGCACAGGCTGCCCCGCCGCCCGCGGGAGCTGGGTTGCTGCACCAGTCCACCCTCGACGCTTGAATTCTAATTCCCGAGCCTCCTGCACCGGAACAGATCCTGAAGACGAGTGCAGGTGCCGCCAGAGGGCGGCGCTGCCTGCCGAGGGCACTAGGGGACCGATGGCGCCGGGACTGCTGCTGTGACCGCCTCAGGATGCCTCGTCACCCACCACCCTGACGGGGCTTCCTGGGCCCCTTTGGTCTTAGATACTGCACGGCGGCATCCCCGTCAGCCATGCAAGGCGCCTGCAAGTCCTGCACCGCGGCGCCCGGGTGTTCTAGAAGGTTCTCCCAGCCTCAAGGACGGTGTTTCCTGGTTATAGGAACCACAAGGGCGAGGAACTGTGGGAGCCAGTGGAGGGTGCCTGGGGTGAGTGTGCACCTGCCAAGAGGGATCCCTCACCCCGGCCCAGCCCCAGGGGTCAGAGGTAGAATGGGGCGCAGCAGTAAGACTTGCTCCAGCCTCCGGGGAACAACACGGGCTCCTGCAGAAGCAGCGGCGGTGGCAGCCGCGGCCCCCATGGCTGTGGGAATTACGCAGCTCGTAAAACTCTTCTCACGTGGGGTGCAGCTGGCTCTGCATCTCAGCTGTGCCTTGGTATTCCCTGCGTTGGTTGTCAAATTTTATAAAACTGGATTTGCATCTATTTCCTTTTAAAAAAACGAATATATATGTTTTAAAGATTTATTTTATTTGAAAGGTAGAGTTACAGAGAGGCAGAGAGAGGTCTTCCATCTGCTGGTTCACTCCCTAGATGGCTGCAATGGCCAGAGCTGCGCCAATCTAAAGCCAGGAGCTTCTTCCGGGTCTCACACGTGGGTGCAGGGGCCCAAGCACTTGGACCACCTTCTACTGCTTTCCCAGGCCACAGCAGAGAGCTGGATCAGAAGTGGAGCAACTGGGACTCGAACCGGCGCCCATATGGGATGCCGGCACTGCAGGCAGCTGCTTTACCCACTGCGCCGCAGTGCCGGCGCCTTGATTGTAATTTCAAACATCTTCACGGAGAGTCCGGTCTTCGGTGGCATGAAGCCACAGGATGCCGTGGCGGCGTTTGAGGAGCATTCTGCCCTTGTCAGTGCCCTGAACTCCTGCTCAGACTTGGGCACAGGCTAGTCCAGCCGGGTGGCGACAGCCGATCTGCTTCCCAGCACCACTTGGTGTCACTGGGAATTCCTGACCCTGTGGGGCAGGAGGACTCTAAGTGGCTGTGGAGCTGTGGTAGTTTTTTTTTGTGTTTTTTTTTTTTTTTTTAAGATTTATTTATTTATTTCAAAGCCAGAGATAGATCTCCCATCCATTGGTTCACTCCCCAAATGGCCTTAACAGCGAGGGCTGGGCCAGACCAAAGCTAGGAGCCAGGAGCTTCATCTGGGTCTCCCATGTGAGTGCCCTCCCTTGGTGCAGGGGCCCAAGCACTTGGACCACCCTCCGCTGCTTTCCCAGGCACCTTAGCAGGGAGCTGGATCAGAAGTGGAGCAGCCCGGACTGGAACTGGCGCCCGTGTGGGATGCCGGCGCTGTAGACAGAGGCTTAGCCTTGTACGCCACAGCGCCGCCCTGTGGTAGTTCTCATTGCTTCATCTCATCAGCAGGGCTTAGCAGGTCATGCACTGTGGAGTCGAGAAATCACACTGTTCTCCTGTGGGAGGAAGCATCGTCGCCCCCCCACACCCCGTCCTCCTCTGTCCCGGAGCTCCCCGCGGGCTGTCTGTCCGGCGCCTGGAAGGAGACGGGCAGCCGCCAGCGTGTGCTGTGCTCACCGAGCGTGTGTGTGGGTTCACTTGGCATCCAGCCTGTAGGCGGTGAGCGGGACGCAGGGCCCCACATCCACGACTTGCCAAGAACTCCATTTATGAGCAGGAGTCGTCTTCCCGGGCAGGCTGTGATCAGCTTCAGTGCGTGGTCCTGGGGTATTCTTGCTTAAACCGGTTCACGGTTAGATCAGTACGGAAAGGAAACGGAAGTGCTGCTGCGTGCTCGGCGCCCTGACCTAACTTCTCTCCGCCTGGGGTTACTTCATGGCGACAGCTTTGACGCTGACAGCACCGGGCCGTGCTTCTGGCACAAGACCACCCTGTTCTCTGGCAGCTGCTGCGTGGAGAGCGTGCCATTCAGCTTGAAATTCACCAGCGCCCGTGTGCAGCGCCGGGCCCTGGGGTGGGGGTGGGGGGGCTGCGCTCTGCTGAATTCTCCAACCCCCCATCAGGCAGCCGTCGGAGCGGTGCTTGCTGAGTGGTGGGGCTGTGCTGTGCCCGGGGTGCAAGGTGCCTCTCGCTCTGCCCCTGCCTCCGTCACAACACGGTGGGAGCGGCCCAGGTGCGTGACTGTGGTGTGTGAATGTCACCCGCGCCCCCCGCCCCTTCCCCACTCAGCCTGCACGCTGCCCCCGTCCCCTGTCCAAAACGAAGCGGGCAGGTGCAGCAGCGGCTTTACCCTGGAGGGCCCTCATCTCTCTGGTCCCGTTTGCAATGGCGGGGTGCATCTCACAGGCTCAGGGCAGTCGTGCGCATGAATGACGAACAAGCAGAACATGAATGCACCCACAGCTCTTGCCATCAGAATCCCGTGCCGTGGCGAAATCGCTTATGAAGTTGAAAGCGCGGGAAACAAGGCTGAGCGCCGCTCTGACCTTGACCGCGGGACGCGCACAAAGCAGGCTCACTGGACCCGAGCACAGGTCCAGCTCCGCTCCTGGCGCTTCGGCAGGCGGTTTGCATGCACCTGCAGGGGGAGTGTTTGAGCCGTGTAGCTCTCGATGTTTCCTGGGGAAGCGAATCTGACTTGGGCTATCGGTTGTGAGGTTCCAGTTGGTTTAAGCTAATGGAATTGCCAAATGGGCGAACTTGGCTGGAGAATGAGTGCCGTAAGCTGCCCTAGCAAGTGGAGTTGGGCCTGCGAACGTTTGACTGAAGCCGTCTCCGTTGGACAGTTCATGCCGAGCTGAGATGGCGGAAGAGGGAAGGGACCTTTGGCCGGCCTAAGCTACCGGTGTGGGGGATTTCGGGGTCCCGAGGCGCACTCTGAAGCAGCTATCCAACTGCTGCGGACTGAAATGTTTTCCTCCTCGATTGTTGAAGCCGTAATCCCTGTGCCTGGGAATGTGAGTGCATTTGGAGACAGAGTCTTTGAAGATGTGATTAAGTGGGCCTTGCCGTGGCACAATAGGTTAAGCTGCCGCCTGCAGCGCCGGCATCCCGTATGGGCGCCAGTTCAAGTCCTGACTACTCCACTCCAATCCACTTTCCCTGCTAATGGCCTGGGAAAGCAGCGGAGGATGGCCCAAGCGCTTGGAGCCCTGCACCCATGTGGGAGACCCAGATGGAGTTGCAGGCTCCTGGCTTCAGCCTGGCCCAGCTCTCGTCATCACAGCCATCCGGGGAGTGAACCAGTGGATGGTCGATCTCTCTCTCGCTCTCTCTCTCTCAAACCTAAGAGGAGGAGGAGACACCCGGGGGGAGCCACACAGAGAAGAGGGAAAAGTCAGGCGAAGACTGGGTGAGGCAGCCGCACCCAAGGGAGACGCAGAGCCGCAGCGAAGGAAGAGGCGAGGAAGGAGCTCCGCCTGCTCCCGGCTGTGCTTCAGACGCTCGCGTCCAGAACTGCGGGAAGACGCACTTGTAGTTCTGTGTTAAACCACTCAGTCACCCCAGCAGCCCGGGAAGACAAGAGCCCGTGGTCAGAGTTCACAAGGGCACCAAGCTCCCCCAGCAGCCTCCTGCCACGGCAGCCCGGGGCCTCTGCCCTCGCCGTTCCTCTCCCTGGACCCGCTCCCCTCGGCTCCCGGCTTGCTCCCTCCTGCACACTGCTGTCCTATCAGGGCCTTGCCTACCTATCCCTATAGAAAGGAACTCTCATGCCCTCCGTGCCTCTGTTCACTTCCTGGGGCTGCCCCTGGCATGGGGCACAACTCCAGTGAGACAGAAATCCACACCAAGTAAAGCACTGGGATCCGAGGTTATAAAGGGGCCAGGGTTGTGGCGCGGTGGCTTCAAACCCAGCTGCTCCACTTCCGATCCAGCTCCCTGCTAACGGCCTGGGAAAGCAGCGGAGGAC